CCCCCTTCCCCTCCTTTCTCTCCTTTCTCTGCGTATCACAATGGGATCTGGATAACACTCAACTCAGAAACTTGTGGTTTTTGTCTGGAAGAATATATACTAATTAGCTATACGGAAATATAGCAACTTATCTTGAGTCGACGGATTTTATATGAATTAGAGATTGTCCAAAAAGATTCTAAATTTTCTAATGCTCAATATGGCAAAGCACATAATGATTTGAAGATTTTTATTAATATTTAACCTCTGAGTAGTGAAGGAGAAAGAGGAGAACCATGCCGTTCTGTCATAAAAGCGGTCTTTCTTTTTTCGTATTGGGCTGACTCGAAATGAGGCTCTGAATGGTCTAACAATAATACACTAAATGAGCTTATTTCTGAACAAAAAAGGATCTTTTTATCATGCAGATCAATTCACAGTAGACTAAAGACTAGCATATCAAGGACGGAGGATATCAGGTCATAATAAGTCGTTAAAATTGCTGCTCTTTGTGAGCTGTGCATGCAGTGAAAGTCGCTGCCGTTTCCTTGACCTTTTTTAAGCTCTTTTACGCTTATTGTCTCTGGTGTAATCATCATGATTTAACCTTTCAAAAGATAGTTTGTAGCTTTTTTTTAGAAAACTAAGGAGTAGAAGTCCTACGTCCTGCTCGCCTACAATGGAGTTGAAGGTGAACCGAGGTAAAGTTCCGCATATCCCCAACTTCTAGGTGATGAATATGCCAAACTAAGGAAAGAAAAACACGCAGAATTTTTCTAGATTGCGGAAACTTTGTTATTTTGTAGCTACAATTGCAATATGTCCAACTTTCTTGGTAAACCCAGCTCTTCATATTCAGCATTCTTCATCCGTGAAATCCGCGATACTGAGACCATCATAAATGAAAAGAACTTGGGTGATTTCTCGAAGACTATTTTAAATCATACCAGTAACAATGAGGCCTACATTCAAGCTCTGGTTTTAACATCTACTCGTGATTTGGCACAACAGGTACGTCTATGTGACTTCTTTGTAGAAAATAAGCAGTTTTTTTGAGACACCACTAAAGTGTTCTCTTCTATCAATTAGATAATCGTATAAGATAAGAATAGCTTAAGAATTTAATGAGAATTAGAATCTTGAGACTTAATCCTTTTTTTTCTTCACACTTGAAGTCAAGCAGAAAGTGGACGAAAAGCTTGCGTACACTGCCTGCAGTAAAGCGAATCTTCTTGAATGAATTCAAGAGATTTGAAAAAGGTGAACTAGAGTAGTCAGATGGTACAATGTATAGTTCCAATATCGCACAAGAAATTTGAAAAATCGTTAATCTTTCCCATTAATTTTTTGCTAGAGGAAGGAGTTTTCGTTAATTTTTTCCATCATTTTTTTGCTAGAGGAAGGAGTTTTCGTTGATCTTTTCCATTATTTTTTTTGCTAGAGGAAGGAGTTGTGATACTATTTACAGGTTACTAAAGAAATAAAAGAGATAGCCGACATCGTGTTGATCAAAGTGCATGCCTGTATTGGAGGAACATCTGTCGATGATGAAAAGTTTGCTTTAGCGCAAGGTGCTCATGTTATCGTTGGCACGCCGGGGCGCGTTAAACACATGATTGAGCTTGGATTTCTAGGTGGGTTGCAAAAACA